CACTAGATCACAGATGGAAAAAATCAAATAGATTTGTTTTCCTAAATCCACCCGCTGCCACACACTCAAAACTTCTCCTCTACTCCCCAGCCTCTTGTTCTCACCACTTTGTCCTTAAGGCAAGGAAAATCACATCTAAGCTTTTTTATTCCTCCAGGCAACCACTTAAAATCACTGCTTTTGGCTCTAAAAACTTCTATTTACCATTTCCGGTTTAAGGACTTAGGTATTTCCTCCTAATATTTAACTAATGGAGATTGGATTGTTTCCTTTTATCTTAAGTAGTCAATTTGATTTACTGAGCATTTCCAGCCAAGATGACACCCATTACAAAAATATTCAGCTTCTCATCCAACTTAGTCTCCTAATTAGAAAGCCCATCCATCACATCCTTCACACAGGTGAGATTGACAAATGCCACACACTTTTACCACTAGGTGTTCCTAAAGGATCCCAGCATGAGCAAAATAATATTCTCTTGAATCCTCAGGATTCTTGCAGAAAGAGAAACAGATGCCTTGCAATCAATAAAATGTGATGTGAATAAGACCAGAGAAAAGAGACTTCTGGTCACCATCAGAGGTAGTCAGAAAATAGTCTGGCATGTTTTGCCCCAGGGGAAGATCAAAATGAATACTTTCCAATTTGCATTTCAGATCACAGCATCTTCAGAGGCAGTCCCTAAAAAGATGCAGCCCTGAGCTCTGTAAATAAGTTAATCCTATGGCCAACCATAGGACAAATCTTAAAGTTTTGGTCAACATATTAGTTTCACATTCTGTAACTGAAGCCAGAATTAGGCAGGCAGATAGGCAAGGGTTAGATCCAGAAAATAGAGGGACTGAAATGTTAATTCCTTCAGAGCCCTTCCTCCACCTTTATCAAGAACCTGTCCCTGCTCTAACCCATGCTAAAGTAACCTGTCCCTATAGGGAGTTATAACATTGTTAATTAATGTGTCCTGGGCTCCATCCAGCCCTTCCCCAGTCCACCTGCTTCTCACCTTTCGGCCATCCCACTGAGCATCTCCTGGGCCTACTCATGTATGCAGGAAGGAGAAAGATAAGGAAAAGAGATCAGGAGAACAAAGGTAGCCTAGGACATATAAAAAGACAAACACAGCTTCTTGGGCTACCAGGATACCAGCTATGGCTCCCTTCTCCCTCCTGGAATAAGTCTATGTTACCCCTTTTTAAATAAGCCTTGCTTTATATTCTTGCCTTGGTGTGCTTCTCTAATGTTATACTTCAACATGGGAGGGAACAGAACTGGTCCCCAGTAACTGGCAGTATCATATTAATAAGCTTCACCTTCCTGGAGTCATGGAAGCAGGAAGTTGTGAGTACATTATGAAAGTTATCCGAGATCTTAGTAGGATAAATTGAAGTGCTGTTTTTTTTTTTCTACCATCCTCTCTGCTTCTGTTTTGCCTCTATTTTTCACCACTATCCCTAATGCCACTGTAATGAAGTTTAATTAGCTTCTCCACTTAGAGTCTCCCCTAGTTTCATCTGTTTTCCCTACAACCAAAGTGATCCATCTAGAAGGCAAATCTCTTCTTACTATTTCCTCCTTCAAATCTTGCAAACTTCTTTGACATCTCTTCTTTCCTTTTCTGTTCCTTTTCCTATTCCCAGTGTCTTTATGCTTATCTTTTGCCATGCCACACCATCAGCGTTCTAAAACTTGAAAATACAGAAGGACTTTCCCTCCTATTGAACTGGGCACTGGCTTAAGATCTTTGCAGAAGTTATTTCCTCTGCCTGGAAAGCAAATCAATTATGTCAGAACCTCTGGGCCCAAGTAAGGGAATTTCTTAGAAACTACCTAAGAAATTCTAAAGTACAGCCAGGGTTTAAAAACAGAGTAAGTTAAACCTTTTATAGATTAAAAAAAATGATTCAGGGAAGTTTTAAGAGTCACTCTAGATCACATGACACAGAACTACTTTTACCTTTTTTTCCCCAAAAATGATAAATGCCATAATTAATTTTACTTTGGATGTCAATAGGAACTATAGATACTTTCTAAGTGTGATTTGTAAAAACTATACTATTTTGAAACAGCAGCTGAATTGGATAAATTATGGAAAACACTTTACTGCTTCTCAATTCTTATTCAGAATGATCCTTCAGTTTCTATTGCAAGTTGTTGTTTTATCTGAAATATCAACAGAGGGCTTTTGATGTCTATTTATTTAAAATTCCTCTTTGGAAATCTTTTTTGGGGAAAGTATAAGCCAGGAATAATTTAGTGGGCTATCATTACAGTAATGTTCCTTACTTCAAATGTGTCATTTGGGGCAAAATTAAAATTTCCATGGAACTTTTAACAGGAACATTTGTTAAAACATTCCAAAGAGAAACCTTTGCAGCTCAATTTAACTAATGTAACTAATGTATGGGTTGATTTTTACTCTTTCCATTTACAACTACAGAAAAGACTCTAAATTTGAAGTTCTATTTGTGCTTCTCCTCCTGCTGCCTAGGATCCTCAAACAGCAGGCTCTCAATGCTTCAGGCACAGAGATGGTCTCTTGTGTTGACATTGGATGCAACCTATCTTACCAGGACAAGGAAGCAGGTCCTTCAACAGTTAGCTGAAATATCGAGATGATATTACGGACAGTTTCCCTCCCCCATGCTCAACACAGGTGAAATCCTTACAGTAGGCCAGGTTCGTGACTGTTACCAGGAGTGACATTTGAATATCTCCTCTAACAATCTAGTTATCAATCACCAGAGTATTTTAACAGAATCACACAAAGGTAAAGCAGACAGTCAGGGCATACAAATATAAATGCATCATCTACTATGATTTAGTATGAAAAGTTATTTTTTATTCCTTGGAATAACTATTTTGAAAAATGAGAAAATGCATAGTGATAACTTCTGTGATTAATACAATGAGCTGGGGGAGCTGGGGTGGGGGTGGATTTATGTGTTTTGCTGCCCTCTGCTGGAGATCAAGAATAAATTCCAGCTCCATTCAAAGTAAAACTGTCTTCATGTTGGAATTGAAAGTGAGTACCTAATAAAGTTCTAAATGCCAAAGACAAACTAGCCTTTACTGAGAATTATTCTTCAGACACAGTTTTATTCTGAATGATGATGAATTAGTTTAACTTTACTCAGCATCAGTTACACATGTAAAATTTTTTGAATAAGTGTTTTAATGTTTCACTTTGGGGATCTGCTAACTCCACACTGTCTGTATGGTTCTGGTAAATTGTGTTATTTTACTCCACTGATAAATTTCTTTCATTTAATCTCATTTAATCCTCGTAGTGCGATAAGGTATTATTAATATTTCCCTATTCAACATGTAGAGAAATTGAAACACAAATGAGTTCCATGAATTTTCTGAAGACTCACAGTTAGAAACAAAGTAGGAATTTGAACCCAGGCAGTCTCACTATGGAAGCCATGCTGCTATGGTTGTGGTTGTGGCTGCCATGCTGAGGATAGAACCCAGGGTCTCATGCATGATAGACAAGAACCCTACTACTGAGCTACACCCCAGCCCAGAAGCCATGCCTTTGATGACAACATGAATTAAAAGGCACTGAATGTAATATAGTGCTAAGGAAATACTGTAGTGCAGAAATGACTTTGTAGGACAAAATTATTCACTTACACATTTTTAAAAATAGGTGCTCTGTGGGTAGGTCTAAATTTTGACCACAGGAAAAATATTTTGAGGCATAAAATATGCCATGATAATTGACAAGAAATAGTTCATGATACACCAATTTAAAAAACATAGATACTAAAAGAAGATATGGTATATATCCCATAGGTTTTCTTGTTCTTAGAATTCCTCATGCTTGTGCTGATCCTCTAGGCTATTCTCGTTTTCACTATCTTTACAAGATTTTATTATGCTAATGCCTCCTAAACTTTCAAATCTATATTTATAATCCTCTTCTTTAGAGAAGGTTTCCCCAAAGGCACTTACATCAGTTGGCTTGGAATGTCATAAAAAAGTATCACAGACTGGGTAGCTTTAGCAACAGAACTTTACTTTCACACAGTTCCGGAAGCTGAAATTTCAAAATCAGGTTGGCAGCATGTTTGGTTTCTAGTGGGGGCTCTCTCCCAGATTAGAGAGAGGCTTTTGGACTTTGTACTTCCATGAAGAGGGGAGAGAACAGGTGAGGGAGGAAGGCAAGCTCTTTTTATAGGATCACAGGCTTAAGATCTCACTTAATCTTAATTGTCTCTAAATAGTTACATTGAAAGTTAGGATTTCAACAGGACTTCAACATATGAAGGGAGAGTGCAATTGAGTCCATAATATCATCTTATACTTTTCTATAGCACTTCTTTTTTAGAATTAATGCATTTGAATCACCTAATTACTTACCTGTGTTTCATTAGACATGCGTTCCCTCAGGCCACATTCTATCTCTATTGCCATCTATGCCAGGTACAGTGCCTAACACTTAATGGTCAGGGGTAAATGCTGTTTGAATGACAGCATGATACCAACTATCTTGTTTCTCTACAAGGTCTTAGAAGCAAAGGCCATAATTAGAACAGGGTAGTAGGATTGTTAGGCCTAAGCAGATATTTGGGCTTTGCTGGAGAGATAACATACAAATAGCCTCATATTCATGTGTTTACTGAAATGCATGGACTTTAATCTCCTCCAAAGTCCTCATCAAAGTAGTGTAATCTGCACATAGATGTAGCTAAACACTGATCAAAGGCCATGACTGGGCAAGGAGGCTGTACTCCACCTTTTGGGGCAAGTATCTTACCAAATCAATTTGTAGGTTCTTCTTTCAGATGAGCCAATTATTTGAGGATAGGGTAAACAATTTAGTAAGTGAAATGATATACAAGTCATCCTGAATATGGATAAACTCAACAATCAGTTAAATATATATATATATATATATATATATTTAATATGTATATTTATTTATTTATATTATATATTTAAATATATATGTAAATTTATTTATTTATTTATTTATATTTTAAAAAAGACCATACTCAGGCTCATACAAAACTTTATTGTACTCCGATAACAAGAATGTAACAAAATTTTGAGCATGACAAAGACAAAATATCTCAATTCTGTTCCTTACAAAAGCATTAAGTACAGTACACAAAGACTGTTTGTAATAGTTTGAAGTGTACTAAAGATATGAAAACATACTAAGATTTATGGAATAATCTTTTTATGGAATAATCTTTCAACTACAGCATTTATTCCCTTTAGCTTTGCTAAAATGAAAATAACATACATGAACATACACATATAAGTGAAATGAAAAATGAAGGCATACAACAAACATTTCAATTAATCAGTAAGTATGAAGTCTTCTTAGTTCTTCTGAAGTGATGTTTCCTTTGAATATATTATACACTGAAACATTACTTTTAAAATATTTTTAATGTTAGTTAATTGGGACCATTCAAATGTAGGCAGTACACTTTCTTAGCATTATCATGGATCTGATTTTGGAGTTTGAAAGTGAAATAAGAAACACATTAAATGTATTCAGAGGTGATATTAAAAACACTGAACAACAAGAAGTCCACTGACCCTAAACAAAATAAGCACAGACACCAAAGTAAATGACTCATGTGACAACACAATCCTACCACAGTATCCTTAGGGGGTTGGTTCCAGGACTTCTACCAACGCCCCACGGACACCAAATCCACAGATACTTAAGTCCCTTTTATAAAATGGCATAGTATTTGGACATAGCCATGCACATCCTCCCATGTACTTTAAATAATCATCTCTAGATTACTTATAATACCTAACACAAGATAAATGCTATGTAAATAGTTATTATATTGTATTGTTTAGGGAATAATGACAAGGAAAAAGTCTATACATGTTCAGTACTGACACAGTTAAAAAAACAAAATTTTCAACTCACTGTTAGTTAAATTCATGGATACAGAGGGCCAATTGCACTATCTATCCTAGATGAATATGAGCCCTGATCTTGTTTCCAATGACCAGATACATTTTGGCTAATATGACACATGAGCTATGATATGCAACATGAAATACACACAAGCACAAACTCAAAAGTCCCCTGCATGGAGACTGAATGTGAAGTATTTCACAGTGACAAATGGACTGGTTAACAGGCAATGGTGGATTTTTATATTCAACTTTGATTAAAACAAATGGACTTCACAAGAAACCCTTGAGACTTAATTAATGCTACTAATCTCAAGGCTCCAAATTATTGCGGAGCCTTTTAAATCAGTATGTGACCTTTTATATAATTTTCCTTAAGGAAAAAATAAAATAAAAACACCGAGGTACTTTAGTTACTCTTCAAGGGATTACTGCTGGTTATCTTCCTGAGATGTAAAAGACCACAAAAGAAAAGCACCATGCCTAGGTTGCTGAATGAGGCATCAGACTAATAGTTCGGTCCTTTTCTAAAGGGATCTCTTCCAACAATCACACTAAAACACAGCGATGGATCACAGATCCCCGGGGGGCCTGGCTGCCCTTGGATTCCAGGCTTCCCATGATCTCCATCCTTGCCAGGGATTCCTGGGTCTCCTTGAGGACCTTCTTTGCTTATTCCAGGAGGACCCTCAGGACCTGAGATAGGACATGAGCAACAAGTGAATAGGGCACTTGGGCTTTGATGGGGAAGTCGCTGATTCTGCAAGAAATTTAAACTGAAAAACAATTCTTTGAACATTTTACATATTTGCACTAATTCTCTACAAGCTTCTCACTTTCAAAAGAACCTTTAAAAAGTAAATATCAACTTTTGTAAAAATTGGCTAAGCCTAATCATATTACAAATTAAGACACTGAGTGAAAATTTTACCCTTCTGATTTGTGGATTATTCGAACATATTTCTTCCTTTCAGTCTTTTATCAATATGATATTAAATTAGCAGGTGATATATAAGTAAGCCAAAGCTTAATGAAGTCATTTTGTGTCTTATTTGCAGTAAAAGTGCCTATTTAAATCATATAAGATTTCATATGTAAATACATTGTCATTATCATAGTATACTAGTCTTCAATATGTACAGGTATTACAACAGTAATTTATCAACTATAGCTTGGCTAGTTTGTTTAATATATCCAAGGAGAGTTAACTTAGGATACTGGTTTTCTAAAACGATGACTCAAAATAAAAACAAAATATTCAGATTAAGGGACAGAGCAGAGTAATTGGGAGCACTTCCTACTACTCTACTTCCTGCTATTACTATTGATAAAAATTTACTTAGCGCTTAACCCTGATTGTAGGTAAAGTCCTAAGTGCTTTAGATAAATAGTATTAAATCATTTGTTCGACTCAAAAGTTTCATGAATTATCTAAAATAAGAGTAATAGTAAACACTTATGGAAAGCACAAGTCTGATTGCTATGCACTGTTCTAAAAGCACCGCGTACATTAATTCATGTAGTTTTCCAATAATGTCGTAATGCATTTTATGAAAAAGGTAACTGAGGCACAGTAAAGCTAAATAGCACAGATAACAGAGGTTACTTGAGACTCAGCTTTTAGCATTATTTTGCTTCCCCAAGAGTCATAAAGACTAAATAGCCTTACACATCAGCTAGGAAGAGGTGAATGAAACCACTCTATGTTAAGGTCTGTAAACAAGTCTGGATGGCGCCTGGCATTTTGCCATAGGGAGTGGTTTGTGAAGTAATGCTAGTGAGCCATTAAGTGTGGAGATTCCTTATTGGTTGACTGTTGTATCTAGTTTATGTTAATTAAGATAAGCTGTGTGGAATGTATAAATACCTCTGTTGTCCTACAATAAACGGCTCCTACTCCTGCTGCATCAATCTACACAAGTTGTTCGTCACCCCCCCCCCCCCCCCCGTTATTTTGCCCAGCCAGCTCTAGACCTTCCAAGGAGTCCAAACAACAGATAATCCTAAATGATGCATGGATAAAAGATATGCATGACAAAATTCCAATAGTATGCATGACAAAACCTCAATGTTTCAACTATAAATGATTAAAGAAAGTCTTGGCTTCAAATTATTTGACATAGTTTTATGATGATTTTTCTTAAAACAAAACATGCAACAAGCTGGATGTGGTGGTGCATACATGTAGCCCCAGCTAATCGGAAGGCTGAGGTAGGAAGATTACTTGAGCTCTGGATTTCACGGCCAGCCTGGGCAGCTTAGGGAGACCCCACCTCAAAAAAGCAACCAACCAAGCAAAAACAAAACACAAAACAAACAAACAAACAAACAAAAAACACAGTACAGCAACACTTAGGAGCACACCCCAGTTCTTACCTGGGGGACCAGGAGGACCTTGCTCTCCAGGATACCCAAACCCTTGGCTCCCCTTTGCCCCATTTCTCCCTGGTAGGCCTGCAGAGAGTCAAACATGTGAGTAAGATGATTTTTCTGTAAAATCACTGCCTTCTAGAATGTTTCTCTCAAAGCTGATAACATACACATTGAAAGAAAATTATCTATTCAAATATAGTCTATCATCTATTTTTTATTACTAATGGAAAACAGAATTTGTGAAGTAAATTTTCAAAACTAATCAGCAGTGTAGATGAAAGATATAATGGGAATTAAATATTGAGAAAACACAATGGTTTGTCATCATTTGTTTATTACACTTGCTTTTTATTACTTTCATGAAATGTTCAAATTGTTCATGTAATATTAAATAAATAGGTTAGAAGTATCAAACAACATTTCACATAAAATTTCAAAGGCAAAGAAGTAAATTATGAGGCAAAACATAATTTTTCCTGTAATATAAAAAAGAATTCTGAATAAGGTAACAGTACAGAAAGCACCAAAGTCAAAATAAAGGAAATAGTGTCTGTGAGTCTTTTTTTTTTTTTTCCTTTGGTACCAGGGATTGAACTCAGGGACACCTGACCATTGAGCCACACCCCAGCCCCATTTTGTATTTTCTTTAGAGACAGGGTCTCACTGAGTTGCTTAGCACGTCACTTTTGCTGAGGCTGGCTTTGAACTTACGATCCTCCTACCTCAACCTCTTGAGCCACTGGGATTACAAGTGTGTGCCACCACACTGGGCTATGATTTTCTTTTAAAGACTTTATTAAACTCAATTAAAATTTCTAAATGTATTGTCAACATCTGTACCTTCACATGTTCACAATTTTAACCTCTCTGACAGAATATTCAATAAATAGAACAATTGCTCTTTAACACAGTTGACAAATTATTTAAAGGCTTAAGGGTTTACAAAATATTTTTCCATTATGAAAATAAAAATGAACTTTTACCTACTAGGTAAATAACAGGGTTTAAATTTTAAAATGCCCCCTTATTGTTCATTTTCTTACTCAAACAAATTAAGTACCTTTTAGTCCTCTGGCACCAGGACGTCCAGGGGCACCTATTAGTCCAGGAACGCCATCTCTTCCTGGCAATCCAGGAAATCCTCGGGGACCTTCAGGGCCTATGGGACCAGGTGGCCCAGGAACACCTGGGGAACCACGCTGAGATTGGCAGTGATCACAATTTTGAATTCTGCCACTCTGAAGTAAGACTGGTAGCTGAGCTTAAAAACAAAGAAACACCACCCTTTATGTTTAAATGGTGAATAGGAGTTAATAACATTCCTAAGCAATTTTTTAAATGTGAGATTACTCACTATGAGCATATCTCAAAAAATTTAAATTCTAGTAATTTACAGAAATAGTCATTATTCTATTCAATAATTTTATCATAGCAACTGCTTAAAATAGGGCAGAAAGAAAGAGTGCTCCTCCTGCTCAAAAATTGGCAAATTATAGATATTCAAAATATTTAGGCATTGATTTGTCATGATGTGTGTTAATAATTAATGATGAAATAATAATAAATTCCTTCACTAAAAAACAACAAATACATTTAATATTTCATCTTTATAAATATATCCATACCAAAAGCCCAGAGCAAGTCTTATAAATGTCTATTTTCTTCTTTATTTTGGTTATGTCTTCCACAATTTCTACTAAGAATATGGATTATTTTTGCACTTTGAAAGAAGTTATTAAAAACTATGTTTGAGACTTACCTCTTAACACATCAGTGCAAACTTGACGAATAAACTGTTCTGAAAATTCTCTTCCCTGCATCAAAATATCATGGGTTATAAAATTTGTACATGTAGCACAAAAAGCAACAAAAATACACAAACACTGAAAGAAGCAGAATACTTACAGGCTTTCCATCCAATCCTGGAGGTCCCTGAGGACCCGCTTCCCCACGCTGCCCCTTAGGACCCACAGGCCCCATCAGGCCATCCACCCCAGATTCTCCTTTCGGTCCAATGGCACCTCTGATTCCAGGTTCTCCCTTTTCACCTCTCTAAAGCCAAAGTAAATCTTTAGAAATTCCTTTTAAATATTTCAGAAGGCACAACTGCATCATAAAAGTCATAAAGGATATGACATATATATATATATATATATATATACATATACATATATATGTATATATATATATATATATACACACACACATATATATATATTTATTTATTTATTTATATGTACATATACAGATACAAATTATGGAGAAAATACCATCATTGACCAGAAAAGAAATTTCATACCATCTGAACTGTCATTTATCCACACATCCACATCCAGCTAGGCAACTCAAAAATATGCACTATTTACTGAGCATATTGTACAGCGACAGAGTTATAACAATGACATGACATAGTCCTATTCCAAGGCACTTCCATTCTAGTGAGTAGATAAATATAGAGATGCACACTACTTTTCATAGAAAAATGCAGATCCCAGTTGTGAATAATAATTGATGATTTTCTCAACTCTATGACAATTTACACCTAAGTCAGTATAAATGTCCACATTCTTTTTTTTTTACTATTTTAATAAACATTTATTGAATATCCACTATGTTCCAGGTGAATATCCAGTATGTATCAGGGATATTTAAAGCATATTCATACATGACTTTTGCTCTTAGGGGCTCACAGTTAAGTCAGGGATAAATGTCTATATTTTAAAAACCACCAACTAAGAGCTTCTACTGAAGACTATAGAAGATATTTTCTATTTACAACACCAAAATCTAGATATTTACAGTACTGAAAACCCAAACAATGAAGGCTGAGCAAAGATCATATTTGAAGAAACATACCTCTCCTTTTGCACCATGATGGCCTTGAACTCCCTTTGAAAACAGGAAAAAAAACTAATAAATGTGTAAACCTACTAGTATTATGACAAATACCTTTACCACATATTTAATCAAACTTTGATTTTCAGTTTGGAAACTATTGATCGATAGAATTAGTGTCATGAATGGACATAAGAAATCATTATTGCCTTTGTTAAAGAATGCTAGTGACTAGAAAATATGTTACCTGAATAATAAAAAATGTTTGATTTGTATACATTTTTCACCATCAGATATTAATATTTTAATATGCTATAGAGAAAATCATGAAGATTAGAATAGGATTGTGCTGGATTTTAAATGATTATCATTTTAAAGAAAATTAAAACTCAACTGAGATTAAATATAAGGTATGTTCTTTTTATTCTGTGATTCAGACAGGTAATCTATTTTCCCAAGTTCATGTTCTTAAAATTAAATTTTGGTTGAGTACAATTGATAAGGGATGAATTAAAGATACTATTAAAGTGATAAGAGTTACTCCATGGTATATATGTCATAAATCACTCTACTGTCATGTATATCTACAAAGAACAATTTTTTTAAAAAAGTTATTAGAGAGAAAATGCCTATTTCTCCAGTGCCTAAACCATTCATTACTGGTAATTAAGAGATTAGAGAGGTATTATTATATACAATATAGCATTTTTACTGGCTGGACACTATGGTGCTGGGCTTAAAAACAAAGAAACACCACCCTTTATGTTTAAATGGTGAACAGGATTTAGTAAATATTTCTAAGCAATTTTTAAATATATAGGAAAAAATCTGTGATTACTGAATATGTGCATATCTCTTAATAAATTTAATTTCTAGTAATTTCAGAAATAGTTATTATTCTGTTAATAATTTATCAGAGCAGTGGCTGGGGGGCCACTCACTCATCCTTCTAATTACCAGATACATATGGATGGCTCTATTAAATTCTTTTCCACTTATGTCTTTCACATATTCATTCCAATGACATATTAGATGGTACAAATTATCAGAAGAATTCAAATTTTTTATTTTTAAAATTCACTATACACACAGGCTTCAAAATTACCCACCATCAGTTCAGGAAAAGAAATACAGCTTTCACATAGACAAGGAGAGTTTCATATTTTGACTTCGTGAAAATTAAAATCTATTTTAACCAATTTAATATTAATATATAACATTTCACATGATGAAGTTTGAGTTGGGATGTACCTTTTGATTTATTTTCAGGTTCTTTAGGCATGGATATTTAAATTAAACAAAGGGAATAAAAAGTTAGATAAAGTCAATGTTTGTTAGGAAAGAAATGGTAAAGATTTGCGTATTAAAATGTGAGCATAAAACCACCAAATTAAATTTAGTTTTCATATAAAAATCTATTATAGGTTAAGTAATCTGAGAATTTCAACATCTGAAATACTCCAAAATTTGAAATTTTTTGCACACTGATATGATGCCACAAATGGAAACTTAAAAACACTATGTAAGGTGTATATGAAACATAAATGAGTTTCATGTTTAGACCTGGGTCGCATCCCACAGATAGCTCCTGATGTAATATGCAAAGATTCCAAAATTTTAAAAAAATCTGAAATCTGAATTATACTTGGTCCCAAGTGTTTTAGCTGAGGGGCACTCAACCTATAAATAAACAAAACACTTTCTGTAAGGCCATTCTTTAAATATTAAAGGCTTGTTTCTGAAGATGCAGAAGTGATTCCTAACAGACAAAATCCTACATACACACCAGAGTCAATGTAAGAGGACAGACAAATAGTAAATTGTAGGGATGAGAAATAAATTAGAGCTGAAACTGGAAACAGCTGTCACCAGAGAATCCATTAAGATGATTTCGTGAGAAAAACTGTTTACTTGGACTTCATTCACAAAACAGGGGCCTAAAAATCACACACATGCAGCACTTGATAAAATGACAGGTAACTAAGACTGTTTATATGAAGAAGTTGGGACAGCTATTTGGCTATGGAAAAGCAATAGCAGCTCTGACCCCTGGTACTCAAGGGAGGCTCAGTTCCTGACAGTGGGAAATGAAGCTTCCAATAAACCCAGGGCAGAAGCTTTCTGGAGAATTTGAATCCTGTCTTAGTGGAGAGAGCACATTATTTTCCTTGAGAAGTAGGAAAACAAAAAATAAAGTTAATGGGACCTTGGAGGAAAAACCTTCTATAAGCCAGTAACTAGTTGTTTGATCTTGAATTTCAAAGAACATATCCTTCCATTCAGAGTTACTGTTAATAAGAACTTTTGGTGTGAGTCCCTGGGCTGTGGAGCTTGAATGAATAAGGGGTAGAGATCCTTTGAGAACAGCTATTTCTAGATACTCTGAGGGCTCACTCTGTCTTGCCAGGGAGGGGAACAAAGATAGAGCTGGGTGCATCATCAGTTGAGTTTGAGTCAAATTGAGGAGCACAAAAATTAAGAGATCTTTCTTTTAATTTTACATAGGCACACTCAATTAATTTCTTTTCAGTGGCTTTTGATTCTACTGTTAGCTTCTAAATTCTTAAAATGTAGCACTTACCTCCATTCTATATTACAGACAAACTAATATAATTGTGTATGATGAGTGTGTGTGTGTGTGTGTGTGTGTGTGTGTGTGTGTGTTTTACTAAGAATTGAACCCAGAAACATTTTACCACTGAGTTACATCCCTATCCCTTTTTGAGACAGGGTCTCACTAAGTTGCTGAGGCTGGCCTTGAAATTGGTGATCCTTTTGCCTTACCCTCCAGAGTCACTCAGATTGCAGGTGTGCACCATAGTGTCCAGCGTGTGTGTGCATGTGTGTGTGTGTGTGTGTATGTATGTGTGTGTGTATGTATATATATACATATATATATATATATATATATATATATATATATATATATATATATATATATATATATCTTCAAACACTATTCGGTGGGCTATCATATTCCTCCAAGTGAGGGACCCAGAGAGATACTGCTATAGTTTTATTACCCTATCTACAGAGCTGGTATAATTGCTCAATCTTTCTTCTACCCACATTCAGAGCAAGAGGTCCCCTCATGGGAAGACTCACATATCCAGCTTGCCCTTTCAGTCCAGTCCAAACTAGAATTAAACTGACACTGAAGTTATAGCACTACAGCAGCAAACATGCTACATAAGTATTAATCACTTCCGTGCTTTTGGCTCTGACTGATCTTATGTGCCACATGGCATCTCACTGGAGCATTACCTAATGAGAAGGGTTCAGTCAGGGGAGAAGCAGAGCAACTTCTTATATATTTGTTTCACAACACAGTCCCTAGGGAGAGCATTTTAGTAAGTCTCTGGAGTAGTAAATTATCTCTCTGAGCAAACTACAGGGAAACAAGTAACATTCCTTCACCATGTGTGCCCCCCACTATAAACAGTTAAAGAAGAAAAGATTAAATGGGAAATATGGAGATATGGCCAGCTGCCTCTGGTCAGTAACAGGGTTACCCTAAGAAACAGGTAAAATTTTCTACTTTTAGTCAATAATTTAGCCAGAGTTGGTGGGGGGAGACACTATAAGCCAAAGTTCACAGCCACTACTGTTATCAGGATTAGAAAATGAAAATATAAAAACAAAATCATTATTCCACTACCACCCAGCAGTTCCATCCTTCTATGCTTAAAGTGTGTTACATCTATGCTTGCCTCAATCATTATTACTTCAAACTAAACTTCTCTCAGCATGGCCCAGTTACTCGTTATTTCATTTTTTATGAAAGAAAAACAAAAATACCTGTTGCCCAGGAATCCCTTGTCTTCCAGTTTCTCCTTTCTGTCCCTTTAAAATTTAATAAACATTAATGATTAGTTTATACATATGATATGATCACATCTGCAATATGTTATACGTTATCCTGAAGTCTCAAAGAAATATCACAAAAGCAGTGATATAAATATGTATAAATTAATAGGAAAGTTGGTTAATCAGAGAAAAAAAGAAGTGAGAAGCAGTCAATCTAAAGCTAATGGTTAAATGAATAGAGACAGGAACAAACAACTGATTTCAAGGGAACATGTAAATAATTTCAAATAATGAGGATATTGTACAAGAAAATGGTTGTTTAGTTTTTGTTTTGTATTGGGGCCTTGCACATAATAGGCAATAACTCTACCATCCACAGAGCATGAGAAGAGTTTTAAAACCCAATGGATGTTAACATTTTAATAACTTCAATGACAAACATATATTTAGTTTTAACTACTTTTAAATTTTTCTTTAAAAAATTAAAAATGTACTATTATATTTTAGTAAGACAACATTTGAAAAAAAATCTTTAAAGCAGGACAAATAAAAGAAAAATTAAAAAGCTAAAACCACATTTCTCTATTAAATATTTTTGATATCAAAATAAGACATTATGCCAGATTCAAGCACTACAACCCTACATTAGACAAGATAATTAATAGTTTCCTTTTTTTGTGGTGGGGAGTACTGGGGATTGAACTAAGAGGCACTTGATCACTTAGCCACATTCCCAGCACTATTTTGTATTTTATTTAGAGACAGGTTTTCACTGAGTTGCTTTGCACCTTGCTTTTGCTGAGGCTGGCTTTGAACTGGAAATGCTCCTGCCTCAGCCTCCAGAGCTGCTGGAATTACAGGTGTGCAGCCCCACTACTGGCTAATTAGTAGTTTCTAAGAAGATTAATGACTAATAATATAACAATGAATGATCTAGTGACTAAAATTTTAAATCATTCTTGCCTATCAACATTCATTTCCTTATATAAGTGAATTCCCAATATTTACTGAGGAGCACCTATTTGTTGGCATGTAGGGACAGTGAAACAAAGGTGTCAGGAATGTGTGGTGAGAAGGTAGGCACTTACATCAAGAATGAGAAAAATAGTGCCTGATAAGTATACAATATATAGTTAAATATCTGGGCTGGGAATTTAGGAAGGGACATTTGAGAAGGTAGGGAACGTGACTCACCCTTGAGTACAACCTGGAAGGATAAGTGAGAAGCAGCCTTTTAAGGAAAAGAATGAAGAGTGAGATTGAGAAATCAGGCAAAGGGCAGAGCAAGCAGCTCCTTTTGGTTAAAGCAGCTGAGCAAGAATAGACAATAGGGGCTAGAGACACAAGAAGGAAAAAAAAAAAAAAAAAACCTTTGCAAAAGAAGATTCCATCAAACCAGGAGGCACTTTATGGAACAGACAATCTTGAATGTGTGGGGCACTGTTAAAGGATTCCTAAGCAGGTGCATGATGTAGGTACTGCATGTTGATGAAAGTACAGGAAGAAGAGTGTCCACGGGGCTCAAGAGAGCATTTAGGAAAACATCACAGTAACCCAGGACCCCCCAATAAGAAATAATTAGGATAGTGGGGACAGCAAAAAGGGACCACATTCAAGAGGTAGTTCATAGCTGATTGAATGACTGAATGTGAAAAGAGAGAAAGAAGGTTTGGGGTCAATCTACAATGTTTTTATGAGGGTGAGGAGGTGGTTGTGTGGTGGTACCAACTACTGTGAGAAAGTATAAGGAGCAGGAAGTGGTTGATGGGGAAAGACAACAAATTTAATTTTGTACAAGTTGAATTTGGGGCATCCAAATGTAATACCAAGAAGGCCACTGGAACATGCAGGTCTGGAACCCAGAGACACTGAAAATTTACCTCACTACAAATTTTAAGGTTAACTTAAGGTAATTATAATAATACTTGAAGATTTTTCAGTTGAAAAAATAAACTGGGAAAATCCCTGAATTTTGACATGCCACTCTACAAGATTTCATACATGTTATGAAGAATAAATTTATGAGAAAAGACTACTGAGACTATGAATTTAGCAGACTGTAATGATTATTACTTCAATTTGAAATTTCTTCCTATGTCTCCATGATTTTTATATTTGTGACCTGTTTCAAAATGTTTTTTTTTTACTTTAAGTATCATTTTCAAAATTTATAAAATTTAAGAAATAATAGATAAAACTTATGTCAGATAAGTATATCATTGACTCAGCTAAGGGCTTCCTATTCCTGTGTCTTTCTTTAGTTAATGAAAATTAAAAATAAAATTAAAAAAAAAACACTCTACAGTCACTTACGTTAATTAAGATGGTACTATCCTTGTCTTCTAAAATAGAAGCAGGGCTCTTCTTTGCCTTTGTTGCCAGGATACCTAAAACTGAATGTCTTTCTAAAGTGCCTGGTTTTCTTAAGTGTAATATCATTTTCTAGTATAAATTCTCCCTCCACATATTCGCTTGAACATATTTTCTAACTTGGTACTAGTGGTTTCTCATCAAAATTTTTTGCCATAAAGTATGCACACTATGAATATCTAAATCAAATGGTGTCAGAAGCACGTAATAAAATCTGTCTTTATCTTGTGGAATCATTTTGTTCTTAAGTTTTCTACCAGAGCAAAATGGTAAAGAATCTTGAAGCCACATTAGATGTTGTCTGGGAAACTCAGTAGCAAAAGGAGAAAGATAGGATTGAACAATCAGAAATCGATGGTGAAACAGGAAGAAATTGTAAAACCTTTAAAAGAATTTAACAGGACAGAGTCCTCATTTTATTACTATGCCAAAAACAAACAAAAATAAAGCAACATACCTGACTGCCTTTTTCTCCTTGATTTCCTTTGTCCCCCTGCAAAAAAGCAGTTAATGGACATTATAATCTAGCACATTTTATATCTTTTAAAATGAGCATGTTTTTCTTTAGCAAATTCCAACAGTGCTTTCATATACAGAAGCTAACTCCGGATCCAATTATTTTGGGAGACAGTAAAACCATACTATGCCAAAATTATATTTTGGAAGAACACTCTTGTTCTCCTACATTATTTTACCAGGAAGAACATTTCTCTATATTGTTCATAGTTTGAGGTTAAACAAAATAACAGAAGAGGGCTTATTTTGACAAACATTGTTTTATAAAATCAAACTGAAAATCTTCCATTAAACTAATAGTAGCCACAAGTTTATAGGAAACAATGACAAAGTAAAACACGCTGCTGTTTAAATGATATTTTAGAAAACAAATACTTCAAATGGGCTTTTGAAGGAAAATTCATATTCCATAATAATAAGTTTCACAATTTCTCAACTAGAAGGGAAATGAGAGACCGACTGGTACAATGCCCTCATTTCATAGATATGAAACTGCTATCAGGAAAGGTAAGCACTTGACCCAAGTTGAAGGGACACTGTTTCCAAATTTTGTTTCTACCTCATCATCCTATTTAATCAGAGTTGAGAGTTTACAAAAAATACAGATTTTCTTTTTAATGACATATTTTTTAATAAGAAAAATTCTCTTAAGTCCTAACATTCATTCCCCAAAGATTTACTTAACATCCACTAACATTTAATGAGGGGTCATCCCTGTCTTAGCAAAGGATGTCTTCCGCCCATTGGAATAAAAAGGTCAAGAAGTGTGTGCCCTAATCTAGAGGCAAAGTAGATTATACAAAAGGGAAACCAAAATAAAATGGTAGAAAACTGAAATCACCAGGGAGATGAAAACATATGTATGGGTTTGTGTCTTTCCAGAATAACAGCATATTTACTTTTAACCTGAAATACTGAATTTGCATGAGCATGAACTCCTTTGGCACATGCACTCCATTGTTGCTGAATGCCTTCCAAAAAATAATGGTTTTTAGACAGATTCAGGATTCAGGATTCCTTTACTTGACCAAAATGAGAGAAAGAGGGAGAGGAGCGGGAGGACACTTAGTGTTACTGGTACACCTCATCAAAACATTTAAAATGAGATAGATTTGTTTTTTAAACATAATTTTCAGTGAAACTCTATGTAACAGAGTTATAAACAGGAATTCATGGTCAAATATTGTAGTTGTAATTTTTACCCTCTCAGAATTCTGTCCCAATTTTGGTAAGAATTGTGTTCATATTTTGGTAAGAGTGGCACATGTTTGTTTTTTTATTTGTTTGTTTGTTTTGTAGTGCTGGGGAATTGAACCCATGGCTTTGTGTATGCAAGGCAAGCACTCTACCAACTGAGCTATATCCCCAGCCCAAGAGTGCCAGATGATGAATAAAAGCAAATTCCTGGGTCATTTGAATTGACTGCAAAAAAAAAAAATCTCAAATTTTTAATGGTATATTTATATTTTCTGATTTGCGTGCTTCTTCTCAGGTCTTCATATAGGAGATAATGCCCTTACAGGGGAGAGATGCCAGAGCTACTAAGCATGGGACTGAACACATTCCACAGAGACCAGAGATGGAAGGAGGCATCTCATTACAAACATAATCAGCCCTGTATGCCAATTTTATGAGAGGAAAACTTAAATGAATGTGACTGAATAAAAGAGATGTATAAATATTAAACAATGAATACCGCTTTTCCTTGAATTCCCGGTAGGCCCATATATCCAGGTTCCCCTGGGAGACCTCTTGCTCCTGGTTCTCCCTAGAAAACAGAAATTCTGTGACTATCACAGATCTGCTTGTGAAAAACACCACTGCTTTATCTCTCCGTAACATTTCAAATTTAAGATACACAGTTAAAAAATGGGTGGACAGACTTATTACCATAGAAATTTGTAAAGAATGAAAAGTTTATTGGCATCCCAATAAAATTTCCTACCTTTGCCAGTTGAAAGACTGATAGCATTCATATTTTAAAATTTTATAAATATGTGGTATTTTTATTATACTTCATATCCATAACAATGAACTGAATAATCATTTAATATAAAATAATAAACAGATATTTTTGTTACTGTAAGTTTACTATAACCTTCTTCTAGTCTTTAAGATTGCTTTTTCTCATATTGCTACTTAAAAAGACACTTTTTTGTTACAAATCAAATAAACAAGAAGTTATTGAAAAGTTCATTACCCACTATTTTTACTTCATTATTTTTTGTCTCATTCCAACTCACTATATATAGTTTAGCTAACAAAATGTGCTCACTACATATGCATAATTTTATGTCTTTTAACCTTCAAACATATTAGTATTATGAAGCTGTTTATGTTACATTACATACTTTAAAAATGTTTTCGATTACAGAAGAATATTCAACTTTCTTAATTTACTATTTTATTTAATAAAATTCATACTATTTGCATTATAGTTTTCATGGTTTTTATTTTATATTGTTGGGACAAACATTCTTGTACATAAATTTATGCAAGTTTATATTTTGTTCTTTATAGATATGGAATGTTATTGTCTTAGAAATAAATTCATGAACTGTTTTCAGTACAGGAAATATTATATATGAGTTAACTCAATTTCTTCATTCCCCATCATCCTGTAGAGATTTTCCTTTCTGAAATAAGGATTTGTAAAAAAAAAATGACAATATTTAAAATATGTGTGTGAGAAAACATGATTCTGAACATGCTTCGTGAGGTTTTGTTTTGTCATTAGTCTCAAACTATCACTTTACTATGGTTCACTCTCTTATGAAAACAAAGTTATCTCTCTCTCTCTTTCTCTCTCTCTCTCTCTCTATCTATCTCTGTGTGAGTGTGTGTGTGTGTGTGTGTGTGTGTGTCTGTCTGTCTGTCTGTCTCTATTGGTGCTGGGATAGAATCCAGAGCCTCACACATGCAAGACAAAGGCTCTACCAGTGAACTACATCCCCAGACCCTAAGTTGTATTCTCTTTGCTCATTGTGTCTACTCCTGAGATATTAAATATTGCTCTAGATTTTTAAAGACTGAAGAATTTTAAATTCTATTGAAATAAACATCAACCATTTGGCTTGAAGAAAATGCATTTGTGAGAGTCAACCACTTAAGAAAGTTGCATTCTTTGGATTAGAAAAGTATATTCTCATTAGGGTATAACATATCATTTCTAGAAAAAAAAAATAAGCCTAAGTTTATTTCATGTCTTTATTACCCAAGGATACAGTATCTAAAAAATAAAAATGAAATCCTATATTGACCATTTCCTTTCATGTATATTAATTTTGTAATATAGGTAATCCTTAATTTCAAGTACATTTTTAAGTGATAAAAATGATAATGTTCTTAATTAATAAATGGAGTGTATAATTTCTTTGAAAATATTCCAAGTGCATCAAACAACAATTACCTTGAGCCCAGAAGGTCCAGGTATTCCTTGAAGTCCAGGCTCACCTTTGCTTCCCTATCAATGCATCAAAAACATTTGAATTAAAAAAAAACATAGTCACAATAATCTGATACAGACACTTAAAAGAATATATTTAAAATAAGCTTTATATTTTCAGCTTTCCGATTGCTTGAAACAGATGCTATAAATTAAGAGAAACTCATTTATTAATAGAAATTCATTTAAGCAAATTACTGAGCCTGCATATTTATAAGGTTGTTTAAAAGCAAGTGTTAAAGCTGGTAGCTCCAAGTATAGGGGAAGAGAAGAAAATCTTTAGCTGAGTCTCCACACCTCACAGGTGGGAGCCATGAACTTCAACAGCATCTCCTGGGATGAGAATCCTAATCCTTGTCTTGTTTCTCTTTTTCAGTAGGACTCACCTTCAGTATGTAATTGAAGAAAAGAAACGTAGCTTCAAATATGCAATGGATGTTTGTTTGTTTGTTTCAAGAAATATGAATCAGAAAATGTTTAGTTTTTTTTTTTTTTGAAGATTCTGATGAAGTCCTAACAGATGAAAATTTGGAAAGCAAGACCAAATTGACAAAGCAAAAAAATTAATATAGGAAAAGAGAACAGTATGAGAGAGTCGGGGGAGGGATAGATAGATATTGAGAGACAGAGAAAAAAACACACAAAATCTGCTGGCTAATAAGGTGAGATTGTCAAATATAGTTATGGTTTTCAAACACTTGGATACCCCAAATCACAAGCCCATGTCTGACAAAAGCTCCTAATTAAACAGGTTAGTTAGTATGCATCTATCAGGGGAAGAAATGATCACCTAGCACCAACTTGGGTTCACTAATAAGTAAAGAAAATTTACAACTTTTAAAATGTTTTCTAGACAACTCATGGTAAGAAACACATGAATGTGGGGCTGGGGATGTGGCTCAAGTGGTAGCGCACTCGCCTGGCATGCGTGCGGCCCGGGTTTGATCCTCAGCACCACATACAAACAAAGATGTGTCCGCCAAGAACTAAAAAATAAATATTAAAAAAAATTCTCTCTCTCTCTCTCTCTTTTTAAAAAAAAAGAAAAGAAACACATGAATGTAATATTTGGATTTAATTTAGGCATTTAAGCATAATATTATGGAATCATAAAACAATGGTTCCTTAAAATTTCTAATTTTACAAGTGATTGGTTAAAACTCACAGAAGTGACAAGACTTGTCCAAAGTTACATGATTTGATTATGCCAATATATCTTAATATAATTTATTTAATGTTAAAAAACTTAAGTATATAGTAGTATGAAAAAGTAGGCTAATAAATATTAATGAATATTTTTAAAAGAGGAATTGTAATCTGAATTGGAAGATTTCTGAAGATCAACTAGAGTGTCAGCCTCATCCATACACTATTTAATAGTGTTTTTGTCACACTGTAGCTAGAACTTCTACCAATGCTACTAAAGGTACAGAATTGATAAACAGTTAATAAAATTCTCAGTAATATGCTAATACACAGTTAACTGAGCTAAATCCAGCCAAACATATGTTTTTGAAATAAAGTTCTATCAGAACACAGTCATATTCCAAACTCATTCATTTCTATATTGCCCATGGATGCTACATATTGCAACAGCAAAACTGAGTCACTGCAATAGAGACAATATGACCCTCAAAACCAAAAATATTTAATATCTGGTTCTTTGCAAAAAGTGCAAGATGAGGGAAAACTTTGCAAAAAGTGCAAGATGAGGGAAAACTTTGCAAAAAGTGCAAGATGAGGGAAAACAACTATTAGGAAATCATATAAAAATAAACAAACGTGAGCAAACAGCTACTTGCTAACCCAGCTAATTGCCTATACATCCAGCATTTACTCAAATAGTGGATGCTAAAATAAAAGCATTGTTCTAAAGTCTTTTTATGGAAAATCCAGTAGGTTTTATAGACCTTCAGCTCAGTGTGAGCCAATAGTGTAATGTGTCCTGTAAAAAAGATGATGAAATGTCAGGCTGCAATCTTAAGAATTAGGGCATTCAGAAGACAATGGGAGAGACCTACTCTATATCCTCCTTATCTATGAAGAACTTCTACTTAGCCAGCCCATTCATTCAAGGGTTTTATACTAATTCTGACACTTACCGCTGCTAGGACTCATGATACTCCAAACATCCACAGGATTCACCACCAATAAAGGAGTAGCTACTTTTCCCGTATCATTGGACTCATTTCAATATTTCCTTTTTCTTTAAATATTTTAGAAATTAAAAATAGACTAGATTAGATCATCTCCTCATCTGGTATGCCAGGGTCTTTTCCCCTGGAACCTTGTCTGGTCAAAGGCTGAATGCTTCCAAAACAGCTACTCCATCACTTCCGTTTGGAAAGTTATCCTAAAATCTATACACTAAACAGTTGGGAATGGTTTCCTGAGTTTAGTCCAGAAAAGAACTTAGTTTATTCTCGGTCTTATGTATACAGCTTCTTTGTCCCACCTTAGAATTTCTAGACAATATGGAAGGCATAGTTAACAAGCATTTCATTGACAAAGCTGGTAAACTGGCCCACAAGCTAAATCTAAGAAAGGGGGAAAAATCAGTCTCTTAACACAAGACTCTATATTTACAGATTGGTCAAACTGTTATATTAAAGAGTTTCAGTTTTACCTTAAGGATAACCTAACCTGATGTTCTAAATGTATTTGTTAAGCTTACCTTACATTTTTTTTAAAAAAATCTGAAAGTAAAGATAGAATGTTATCTTAACCATAGGAATAAGGTAGCATGTGTTTTAACAAAATTTATTAAAAATCCATATGCATTCTAATAAATAAAAATATCAAAAAAAGAAGACTAGAAAACTGATAAGAGCCTTGCTCAATCATAACTATGAATGCTCTTGGGTTGGTGCCTTTATCTCCAAGCTCCAATAAGCTCTAAGCATTCTTCAATGCTCCTTGAAACACCTAAAAGGAAGGAGAGACCAACTAATGAGGGACTCTGCCCCATCTCCAGCTTAAGCCTGACCTGATTTATTTTAGCCTGTTTCAAATGCTGAGCTTTTGTCTAAGGTTTCATCCTTACAAGTGAGTGTTTGTAGAATGAAAACCGCATTCATAATAGAATCAACATAGTTAAAATTGTCACTGAAGTTATAAATGGTCACTGTGATCCTATAAGCTCTCAATCTTATGACCCTTATCATACCTACCTTCAATCCTGGTGTGCCAGGCTGACCTGGTGAGCCACTGCTTCCCATCAAACCCTACATTTTAAAGTGGGAATTTCAAAAGTGATTTAGAGAAAAATATTTTAAAATAGTAAATGCATTTCCACGTTACACATTCTCGTAATTAATCCACAAAATCATAATATAGTACCTTCAAACAAAAATAAAAAAATAAAACCGCAAGACAGAATGAAGGCTAGCAGAGCCCTTATAATGCTGATGTCCAAAAGACCAAAAAAAAGAGCAAAGAAATCTTTATGTGAGGAAATGTTTATTTTTTCAAACTGTTCAATTTGTCATGATGGCTAAGAAGTAGTTTTCTTCATAGGTATTATCTCAATCAACATTGCTTAAAACTTCTATTATCCTGAACAATATTTTAAGATAATTACAATGTAACATTTTCTGACTATAATAACCTTTCCTCAAGTTACAAAATTGCCACATTTTTAACTAATCATTTGGTTCAAAACAAGAAAATGATAACTACTTTGGCAAGTAGGACCTTATTTAATTTAGAGACTACTATTATATAGAAATTATATGATAATATATATATATATACACATACATTATATATATGTATTTCCACATTCCACATTACATATATATACATATATATGTGTATATATATATATATATATATGCACTATAAATAGATATACATGCATGCACACATACAAACACTTGACAAAGGAAATGTAATGTGGAAAAATTTCAAATATTAGAAAGCATAATTTCAGTATGTTCATAATAAAAACACCATGACACTACAATCCTTTGCTGTCAAGTTACAATGTTATTGCCACTACAAAACATGAAATTTGCTAGTTCATAGCAAGTGTGCCAAATATTAGAAATGTTACACATAGCTATTCTTGAGGTCAATGGATACTAGTCAATTCCTCCATTTTTCTAGATAGCTTTTATTAATAACTAAATTTAATTGATTATTTTAATATATAACCTGGTAGTGATGGTGAAACTAGAGGAAGAGTATTCTATTTTGAAGGGAAGATACTTCTTTAAGTCTTCTTAAAATTTGAATGCATACTTAATAGACATTTTCCTTATTTACTCTGGCATGCAAAATTCACCAAATCTTTCATTCACTAAGTCTGGTTTTTAATTTATCTATTTTTTATAATTTAAAGTCATCAACTTCAAATGTGAAAATGATCTGTTTTACTTGAATAAAAAGCTATTAGAGGCAGTTTGATTCATAAATTAAAGATCAACATCATGTCTAGCAATAAACTTACAATTTCTCTGGAATCTTGCATACATAATTGAATTTTCATAATTTTCAATATAAAACTCATATGTTTCTTATACTCCTGAAAATTCTAAAACAATTTCTTCACTGGTTTAGAAACATTTGCATATGACCTCTTCTAAATACATTATCTTTCATTTTTTTTATAAATTATTAAAAATGAAAAAAGAATATTCATCGTGTTTTATACTTTATCATGGTTCTTAGTACTCTTTTTTGGGGGGTTGGGGGTTACCAAGGATTGAACTCAGAGGCACTTGACAACTGAGCCACATCTCCAACCCTGTTTGTATTTTATTTAGAGACAGGGTCTCACTGAGTGGCTTAGTGCCTCGCTTTTGCTGAGGCTGGCTTTGAAATCACAATCTTCCTGCCTCAGCCTCCCAAGTCGCTGGGATTTCAGGTATGTGTCACTGTGCCCAGCTAGTATTCTTTTTTAATGAATAATTAGCATATTTGTTTTCTGATTTTTCTACAGTAAGGGTCCTGATATTAGTTTTTTAATTATATGGTGTGTGTGTGTGTGTGTGTGTGTGTGTGTGTGGTTTTTTTGTTGTTGTTGTTATTGTTTTTTACTGGGGTGCTCTGTCACATCCTAAGATTTTTATTTTATTTTGAGGTGGTGTCTCACTAAGTTTCCCAGGCTGGCATCAAACTTGCAATCATCCTGTCTCAGCCTCCCAGCTTGCTAGGATTACAAGCAAGCATTACCAATCCTGACTTTGACCTTAAAGTGACCAACTCTTTGAGAGTCTAAAGAAATCTTGACACCTCAAGAAAAATGGTAATCTATAATTTTTAAATACAAATGGATGAAATTTGTGGACTTCAAAAATCTCATTGTTGTATCTTATCTAGTTTCATGAATTCCAAAACACAAACTCCTGGTACTTAGTAACAACATTTTAAACACCATCATGATAACAATTTTGACCTACTGGTATCCCTGGAGCTCCTTTTTTTCCTAGTGGTCCTGGAGGTCCAATTTCTCCCTAAAAATCAAATACAGACCATATTTTAAACCTTGTATATCAATAATTCTCAGAAATTTTCTACCAAAGCACTACAAAATGAAAATTCAATATTAGTCATTCTAATTTGATACTATAGCCAGGTAAAGCAGAAATATCAGGAATTTAACACCTTAGAGACCTGGGGCTAGATTCTGCATAATCGCTGTCTTATAATTTCATTGTGAAATTTGGAGTGACACTTGCCATTCTACCAAAGGCACCTGGTTGAAGCTATATTTGGCAAGGATTTGGAACTGTGAAGAAATCTTGCCAAAGGTAGAGATGTAGAACCCAAAAAGATGAGTGGTTAAGGGTGCATGCTCAGCTATTGGGGAACAATGTGGGCCAGATATGGGGAGGAGGCAGAAATCTCAATAGCCATGACAACCTTGAAATTTCAAAGTGGACTAAAATGCTATCTGAGGCTACCAGGTAACAGCGCCCCATTTCCCAGCAAGGCTGACAGAACTCCCTCCAGATGAAAATGAAGCAATGAGCTCACAATCAACAATAAAGAAGCAGGGGACAGCAAGTCACACAATGGAGAGGGAACAGAATAACAAAGTACAAATATTGAAATTTAAAACTACATATGAGATCTTTAAAAATCAAAAAATAGAATCATGAAAAACTATCAGGTCTGAAAATATGAGACTATTAAGAAAAAAAAAGATATGGTTTGAAAAATTAGAGCTCCTACAAGTTAAAAATACGATTGCTTCTAAATTTAAAAAAAAAAATTGTTAGTTTAAAAAAGATTCAACTCAGTAAAGGAAGAATAAGTAAAGTAAAAGGCATATTCAGAAACATTCAGCCAGAACACAAGACAAAATTAAAGAAATGAAAATTGAAGGTGGTGTTAAGAGATAGAGTATAAAATTAGAAGGAATAAGATATTTCAGAGGGCTGGGGCTGTAGCTCAGTGGCAGAGCACTTGCCTAGCATGTGTGAAGCATTGGGTTCGACCCCCAGCACCACATAAAAATAAACAAATAAATAAAGGCATTGTGTCCATCTCCAACTATAAAAATAAAATAAAAAAATTTAAAAAGGTATTCCAGAAATAGAGAACAGAGAGAATAGAGGTAATATGAAGATAACAGCTGAATTTTTCAGGAATTAACAGAAATTGTTTCATAGAGCCAGGAAGAAAACTGAATTCCCAGCAGGATGAATATAGAGAAGTCCACTTCTAGACACATTGTAGCGAGTTTCATAACAATAAAAATAAATAAAATACCTTGAAAGAACCCAAAAGGAAGGAATAGATCATTTACAAAAGAATGATAGTTAAAATGACAGCAAATTTTTATGGTGTTAATTAACAATGGAAATCAGGAGACAATGGGAAAAAAACCTCAATTTATTAAAAAAAAATAATAGTCAATTTTGGGTTGAAATGTTGTACAAATTTATCTCTCAAAACTAAGTAAAAAAAGGAACTTTATACTTTAAAAAAGCTGAAAAGTTTACTTCTAAGATATTTATGCAAAGGAACAGCTAAAGACACAGTTCAGGAAGAATAAAATTATCCCAAAAAGGTTGTCTTAAAGCACAAGATAGAGAAGTAATCAAGTAAAACAACATACATATGGGTAAATCCAAATTAATATTATCTATATACTTCACAAAAGAGCTTCTGAATATACATCATATTTGAATTGCTGGCTGTTGTCATAAATGCTGTAAATATATATTCTGTGTGAAGATCAGCATCACCTCTTCAATCTTAATAAGCAGATCCAGGACCACTCCTTCCAAATCATTAATACTTGCCTTTTGGCCCATTAATCCTTGGTTTCCAGGAAATCCTGGGATTCCCTAAAAACAAACAAAACAGATTTTAATTTAAAAATTACAGACTGTATCAATAAAGAAGAATCAGTCATAATTAAAATTTTATGTAACTTGCAAGCATGTATATCTGTAAAATATGTATAAATATGTAAATTTGTAAATAATGCATAATTTAAAACTTTTATCATCCATATTACAGTATAAAAGTGTTATCTGCAATAATCCAATTTTGGATAAGGAAAAATTTATGTGATTCAGCATTAGGTGAACATCTACTAATGGTTTAACCTTGAAATAAAGACTTTTAGAAAGAAAAAAACTGCAAGGAATTAAATCTTGGTTCTTCTTTCAGACAAACACAAACGATAATAAGGAAATTTCATTTGAACACATCTTAATGATTTATAATATGTAATGCAAGAAACACTGTCAACTGGTAGGACTTCAGATTCAGTACAACAGTTCTCAAGGCTCTCCCAATCTCAGCCTTAAAAATTAATGAAATAAAATTATTTCCTCCAATCTGAGTCTCAAAACACCCATAGTAAGCTCTCCTTATGATCCCTACTGGTGCAATCATGAAGTTTTTGCACCAGTTTGCAGACAGAAAGAAAGAAGCACAAAGAATTATTTTATATGGCTCAGCCTAAAAGTACAAGTTCTCTAGCAAGATTCAAAGAAGAATAATGTTACGTATATAAAGATGGATTTAGCACATTTATTAGTGGGAAAGCAATTATTAAGTCTTTTAGTGCGTTTACTCAAAATGACTTTGTCACACAAAACAAAGATGATATTATAATCAATTTTCTTTTCTCATTCACTTTTCTTAGCTCCTTTCCTGATGACACTCCAGTTGAAATGATTAACATTTATTTTTATAAATACATATTGACTCTCTGGCAGAATAGGAAAATTAAATGACAAGGAATTTAGAACCCATTAAGATGTCTTTGAAAAACCTCTGCATCATCAAAGCTTTCAAAGAACAGCAGCACTCTCCAATAATTGAAGGCAGGTGGAGAGTCACCAGTATCCATAGGATCAACTACTTCTACTACATGGAGAGTCTGCCATTATTTCGCTTTTTTTCACATCTTGAGTTTTTGAATGGAATACTGACCCATGTTTAGCCATAACTGTAATGCAAGGTACAAGCACATAATCTAGTTTTAGAATCTGAACTTGGAATTCAGGTAAATTTCTTTCACAATTTGATGCTCTTCATCTCAATTTATTTTCCATTTCACTACACCCTCAACTGAGAACAAAAGTTGTATCTCAGTAATGCCTATCAATAGGGGCTCAAAATATTATTGACAAAACAAATCTTTATAAACATACTAGAGAATAAAAAAACATAAATTGAAATTTTAAACATTAGGAAGCATGAATACATTATGTCCCCAAAGCTTTTTAAAACATAAAATAAAAATAAATCATTGAGTTTTAAGGAAAACAGATGGAAATAAATCCAGTTCTTCTAAGACAGAAAATGCATATTTTCTATACAATCAATTATCAAAAACATGGTTCAAAATAAGGCCATGATTTGTTGAGAAGCCACTCTTCCCAAACACACATACATAACACACCCACACATGTAAATTTACTGAAGCTTAGACTAAGTTCTGAATTGAATTAAAAATCTGTTTGTAAAATATTATCAGGAGCAAAGTGACTATATGCTGTTCTACACTGGAAAATAAGTGCAATTGTTTCAATGAGATGTCCCCTGATCCCAGAATCCCCAAAGGGGACATATAGTTATCCATGATACTGTCAGACATGACCAGCTGAATTCCTTGCCGCCTACAGTTCTTTACTACTTAGGATTACCATCACTATTCAGATATCTGTGCCCTTACACCATCTATGATATTAATAGTGATTACTTATATATAACACTTATACATAACCTGACTCTACTGCTGATTCTGCATCCAAAGTCAGTCTCTTCACATCTATGAGGAACTATAGTTATGCCCAAGTATTAAAGAACAGTACCCTGACTTCCACCTGCCAGGAGCTCTTGAGAACCCGTTTTCATATAGTTCTTTCCCGGGATTTGACACTTTTTTATCTGATTTCTTCTAATATTGAACTTCTTTTACATTAGCACATAGCCACACACCTTAAATCATTTCAACATATCAGGTATTGAGATTATTTGTGGAAGATTCCAGATTAGGAAAAAAAATCCCTTATTGTCTGTCCTCACAAAAAAATTATATACATTTCACAGAAATTAAGTCAGAATATTTTCTATAAGAAATATGCTAAAATATTACTTATTTTTAAAACACCAAGTATAAAATATTATATATTAAAACAATGTAAAGATTATTTAAGCAAATTTTGGCAAAACTCATATAAGAAACAGAAGTAGAATATTGCTGAGAGAGAGTTTCAGGAGAACTGAAATTATTTAGAGCTATATTAGTTAATAAAACTCTCCAAGGTAATATTTTCCTGGGTTCCAAATATGCGTACTGAAATATACAAGACTTTGCCAGATTTAAATTACCAGAAATATCATTTAAAACCAGTTCGTTAATCCAAAAGTATTTAGTGACAATTACTTCATAGACCAAATGTTTTTCCAAGAAAACTATTTTATATTTTACTTTCAGCCTGTGTGGTTTTGGGTCCAGACAACTGTGAAAATGTTTAAGTATAGAAAGAAACAAGTATTTTATTTGGTAAGAAAAAATGGACATGTTTCCTCCATTACTCTGATTGCAGTCTGGGTTTGAAGAAGAGCAGAAAGTCAACTGGAAAATCTGCATACTGCTGTGGTGAAAGAATGTTGACAAGGGAACATTTCTAGAAGCTTCTCTGTAACCATTTAAACCATTACTATGTACCAAATAAGTCACTGAGAATAGAAACATGTATTTTAGAACAGGCTGCCCACTATTTTCTAGAAGCTGTTTTTATAATGAAGATAATGTGTCCACTATGCATTACTTAGAAAAGACAAAATATCACATGATACTTTCTCTCATGCAATGATGTATTTACCTTATCCCTGATATTGAACCATCTTAGATCAAACTTGCTTAAATAATGTAATATTTTCAATTCAGTAAAACAGATATAATCCATTAACGGTATTTAGCTTTTCTACACACTGGTAGAGATACTTAATATTGCAGTTATCAAAACATTAGAAACATATTGCATGTTTTATTCTTTGCATCAAGAAGTGATTGATTCATTACTAAGGAGCCAATAAAGGAAAAGGACGTATGTTGCAAGCCTCATTCTAGTTAGATGAAAAGATTAGAAAATGACTATTAATAAAGTGTATAGTAAGAAAGAATGAAGCAGTTAAGTGTAGATGCTGGACTCAGCCAACCCATTTTCCCAGTGGCTGTTGGACCCCAGCAAAGTGACACTTCAATTAGCTGTCACATCTCGGCAACCCCACTTTATACATGGGGAAAATAAGAGAATTTACCACATAGGGCTGGTACATTCTCTCAGTTAACTTTTCACAGGTAAAGTCCTAGCTCAGTGCTGGCACTAGAATGAACCAGTTTTATAACAGTCTTCATAGCTCCTCCCTAACCTTTAAAAATTGTGAAATAAATGAAGTCAATTCTTTCCCATGTCTCAAAATTTTGTTCTCCATTTTTTAAAAATATATATTTAGTTGTAGATGGACACACTACCTTTATTTTTGTTTCTTTTAGTTTTATGTGGTGCTGGGGATCGAACCCAGGGCCTCACACATGCTCTACATGTGCTCTACTACTGAGCTACAACCCCAGCCCCCTCTTTCTCCATTTTGAGGGTAATTGTGTGTGTGTGTGTGTGTGTGTGTGTGTGTGTGTGTGACCTTTCCACTTTGCCTTTCCCAATCTCCTTTTCCAAGGTTTCCATAGTACACAGATGACTCCGGCAATCTACCATTTTCCACTGGGGGGCGCCAACAAGCCAACATTGCTCAGCACTGTTTTGCCTTTTTATGTGTGGGTGACTTTGATTATAGAATAATACTGCAATGATTTCTGCTTTGTAAATATTTAATAATTTCATCACCACTTGTTCAGAAGAATATAATTGAGATTTTTGAAATATGTGTGTAGTTGAGCCGCACAGTATTTTTCAATTCCTTTATTTCCACAGTAACTGACAGAACATTATGAATGATACACAACAGCTTGCTCTGTGGTAAGATAACTATATAGAAAAGCAACTCACAATCACAGTTGCCAGACCTAAAAGAAACCAATATACAAGTACTTGCAATAAACCCTTAATAAAGAGATTGCTGGTTTTACTACTCCCACATTATGCTTTAATTAAGGGTGGGGGAAATAATCTGGATGAATTTACTCTAGTCCATTGGTCAGGACCCACGTAGAACTGGCCCCAAATTGTCAACATTTTGAGGCTACTTATGTTTATATACACCATAAAGTGTCACCAATTTGACATTATATGTTGTAGGAAGAGGCCAAGGATATCATAGGAAGGAAAGGCTATTTGTATTTTGTAAAGTTACTTCCAGTTTTGGCATGACTCTTCCACACCTAAAGGCAGTTCTACAATTTTTAAATACCAAGAAGATAGTCTAAACAACGTTACTGTTACATAACTGTTATTGTTAAGGTCAAGACAAAAAAATACAAATGTTCCCTAACCTAAAATAATGTATCTAAAAACCCAGAGAAGGCAAAGAAGCACCCATAAAGGAAAGGACAGGGTTAAGAGCCTGGCGGATAGTGCATGCACTGCCACATCATGGGAAAATCTTGTCACTGTCCCAAGCCCAAAAAGTCAACAAAAATCACCTGCCTCATTGTGTCAGTCAGTAAAAGGAAATACATGTGAAAAACATCAATGAGTTACAAGGAACATGTACAAGGAACCAACAAAACACTGAAAATTGATACCATTTTGAAAGAAAATATTCCAAATAATATCTGAACTGTTATAAAATGGGCTCACCCCTCTGAAAACCTGAAAAGGACAGTTCACAATTTTGAAAAAACAAATTACAGAGAGCTTTTCAC